AGGTCCAGGCTGGCTGCTGCATGAAGGGTAACTGTGTGGACTGGGACTCTTCAGCCTGGAAGAAACTACGGAGGTGCCCATGACTGAGGTATACACAGCTGAGAGGGACAAGGAGAAAAGTCAAATTAGCAGGAGGTAAAATAACTGAAAGGGAGATGCTTCCTCCCTCCCCTTGGCTTTAGGCAACTCCCACACATGGCTGTGGCTGTTCAATGTCAACAGGGATTAATAAAATCCACAGGACAAATTTGTAGAAAGAAAATCTCCTGAGGTTTATGCAGTATGAAGATACTACCTTCAGTTCAAGAAACATTTGAGCTGTATAAGAATATTCAGTGTGTGCGTGCCCTGATGTCACAGCCTTTGCTCTGCTCTGGCTGCTGTCCAAATGTGGGAGGCAGGATGCTGGGCTGGAAAGACCCAAGCTGGCATTCTACTGATCCCATGCCTTTCTCTGGAAAGAGAAAGAGGATTTTCAGGTCCCACAACTTCAGGACACCTGAAGTCCCAACATATGAATTACACATTATTTTACCACGAGCCCTCTTGGCATATTGATCTAATAGAACAGAGCCCAGACTAGCTAGGAAGGGTGTCCAGAACAGGTAGGTTTCCACTTTGGGCCTGGAACTGTGTCTAGTTTCAGACTCCCAAATACAGGAAAGACACTAATATGCTGGATCAAGTCCCGTGAAGGCCACCAAAAAGACTGAAGGAGCTCAGACACCTGACATAGGAGAAGAGGATGAGAGAAACTGGGGTTTAGGCTTCAGGGAAAGGCTAAATGGAGACCTCCTTGTTTTCTTCACTACCTCAAAGGAGGGCACACACTCAGAGGGGCAGAGTGATGGAATGAGAGGCCAAAATGCAAATGGCAAGGAGGAAAGTTCTGATTAGATATTAGGAAAATTACTTGCCCTGTGAAGGGAATCAAGCAGTACCACAGGGACCCAAGAGACAGGCAATCTCCATTCGGTGAGACAGTTGTCTGTGGATGGGACAGGGTGCTGAGCAGCTGATTGATGTCCTGCTCAGACTGGGGAGCTGGACCAGAGACCCCCAGAGCTTCCTTCCCATCCTGGTCATATCATGGTTCGGTGCTGCACCTCATCAGTGGAGAGAAGCCAGGATGGGTAGCTTGGGTTTAGCTCAGATGTGACAAGAAAGAGCCTGCTGTGGTGTTTGATCCTCCCCCCGACGCGCAGGGCTTATATTCCTTTTCTTCCCTTTCAAGCTCTGAATGGTTCTTGTGCCTGTTGCCTGCTGAGACAGCTTCCTCTCACAGCATCTGCTCTCCCGTCAGTCTGCTCAGAGAGTGACAGTGCCCTCTGCTCCTGGCTCCGGGGGAAACACATTCAGCTGCTGGAGTCTGAGCCAGCCAGAAACGAGGCTTCAGACCTCGTTAGCAAAGCTTTCTTCCTCTGCCTGCAAATCCAGCACCAACTCAAACAGTCACAGATGTTTTCTCACTCCTCTTGCACAATTTATCCTTCCCTTTCCCATCCTGCACCCTTAAGTTCCTCCCTTTCTAAAATGACAGGCTTCTTCCTCCACTCCGACAACAAGCACTCACCTCTGGTTCTTCCCCAGATATTAACAGATGGTGCCAGGGGAGGCTCTGGCAGAGAATGAGCACAATGGGCTTTTCTGAGGAGGTATTTGGAGAAGGATTCTTCCTCTCAAGCCTGAAGAAACAGTCTACAGGGAACACAGCAACCTCCAGCTGTTTGAAGAGATTCTGCATCAGCCAGAAGTGTCATCTTTAGCTATGGGAAAGTGCTGGGGTTAATTTAATGATCATTTTTATTAGCTATGTGTGTCGCAGAAGTAATAACTCTGCAGCATACATGTGCCACAGAGCTGCTGACACATACTCAGCCAGAACTTTCATTTTCAATCATTTATAGATATATTTCCAAATGCCTAGCTGGACCCTGGAGAAAATAGGAAAAAGAAGGGTCTGTGTGATCTCAGACAGCTGAGGAGAAGAGCACAAAGGAAGGTCCTATGCTATGCATCACCTTTCCTCTATTCATGGAAGGAGAGGACCAGTCCTTGTTGGAGCAGGGATTGCTCTGGGTCAGATTGAGTGGACAGGGTGTAACAGTTTTTCCTGCCTTTGCAGTGTAACTATCCCATTCTGCACAAAGGAAAGGACATGGAGGGAGAAAGTCTTTCCTTGATCCACCAGTTGTGTTGGGTTTGGCTTTTTTCCTACCACCTTCTTCCCCACTGTTATAAAAGAAAAGCAGCAGTTAGAGGTGCATCCTTCAGCCTTACTTAGTTCCTCTGACCCTATGGCACAGCTCAGCCCTGCCCTGAGTTCCATGGGGCATGGATCCACAAGCACTTGGCCACAACTGCTTCTCTCTGCCATCCTGATGCCCCTGTTTGTGCCCTTCCATGCTGCCTCCGAGAGACATCCCTGATGGCCTCACTTCCTTGGTCAGCCCATAGCTACAGGATAGAGAAATTTCAGCATCAGAGTGAGCGTCTCTCACAGCCTCCTCTCTAACTGGTCCATGGTCCCCCTCATGCTGAAGTCCTGGTCCCCATCTGGCACCATGGGAACCTGCTTCCTAGGACTATTAACACAGGGAGAAGCCAGCCAGATGCAAATTTGTCTGCCCTGAGTTCATTACTCCAAGCTTTGTGTCACACTCTGTCGGAGTCCAGGACATCCCTCTGGCTGCCCTGGATGGCTCAAGCCCCTGGCGGGGGTCTTGGAGACCTTGGCAGGAGGTCAAAAACATCTGTGTGTCTTCAGTTTTAGCCTGTGGAAGGCTCTCAACTCTGGATGAGGAATTACAAGTCACAAGGGTTTTAGTAGTGTGATATTTAAACTAACACAGAGTAGAAAAATATAATTTTGGGGTTTTTTTAGAATGTAATTCAGGGGTACAAGGTGGAGGAATCTGGGCGTGTCCTGGCCTTTTTCTCCTTCTTCTTGTCCTCCATGTCTTGCTGTGATAGTGACACTTTTCTACGGGTTTAAGGTAGGGACACACCGTCCAAGATAAATGTTAGGTATTGGTAATAAATTGTAAACATAGTATATGCAACTTTTGATATAAAAGGTGAACACTGCCCGAGAGGGCATGCAGAATGTTATGGCCTCCTTGCTAGCCAGAGCTCAGTATGTCAGGGAGAAAATATTATAGATAAGAAGAAATAAACAACCTTGAAAGCACAACTGGAAGCATTCCAAGACTCCTCATTTAACTGCATTTGGGCTAGGGAAGCAAAGACTCTTTTAGGATCTCTCTCTTGGGTCCACAACACTCCCTTCCCAATCACTTTAAAGTTATTTGAGAATGATTATCAGTCACTCCCTGGCCACCCTCTGTCCTCTCTAGTCACCATTTCCAGCTGATTTCCTTGTAGTCCTGATGCCTCTGAAAAGGTGATGAGAATTGGGTTAATGAGCCTGACCTTGCCCTAACCTTGCAAGTGGCAGGCTCAGCACAGCGCTGTGGATGGATCTCCATCCGTCCCTTCTTTCCCAGAGGGGCTTGTGCAACCTCCGGAAGGCTGGCCCAGCGCCACTTCCCCTGGGGCGCTCGTGATGCCCGGCCCAGCTGGCGGGGACTTCTCGGAGGAAGGGGGTTCCACACACCCACACACCCACCCCGGGAGTGCTGGCTCCACCATGAACCTTCCGGGCCGTGGTCCCCAGGAGAGACGTGAGTGCGGCCGTGGAGCCTGGGGGGTGAGGCTGGTGGGCATGGGGGTGTGGGCAGGGGGCAAGAGCGGCTGTGGGGATGACAGCACGGGTGATCACAGGGGGACGGACAAGGCCACCTGTGGGGACACGGTGAGGACACCAGTGGGGATGTGGATGAAGACAGCTGTGGGGATGGGGTGGAGGACACTGGTGGGGCAGGAGGTGAGGACACCTGTGGGGATATGGGCGTCTCTACCAATCAGGGGGTGGAGGACAGTGTGGGGAGGAGAGGAGGACATCTGTGAGGAGACGGGCAAGTATACCTGTGAGGGGTGGAGAGGGCACTGTGGGGAGGAGGGAGGACACTCCTGGTGAGTAGTTGAGGTTACCAGTCAGAATGGGGGCAAGGATGCATGTGGCGAGGGGGCATGGATGACTGTGGGGATTGGGTGAGGTCACCAGTGGGCATAGGAGTGAAAACACCCGTAGGGAGGGGGTGAGGATATCTGTGGGATATAGACAAGTACACCTGTAACGAGTGGAGTGGGCATAGGGGTGAAAACACCCGTAGGGAGGGGGTGAGGATATCTGTGGGATATAGACAAGTACACCTGTAACGGGTGGAGTGGGGTGGTAGGCACGGGACGACGACACTACAGGGAGGAGGGAAAGACACCCGTGTGAATGAGGGTGAGGTCAGCAGTGGCGATGGGGAAGCCACCTGTAAGGGGTGTGGGAGGGGGGCGGTCACCATTGGGGGTGGGCGTGAGGACACCCCTGGGGAGGGGGAGAGGTCGCTCGTGGGCATGGAGGTGCGGGCATGGAGCCTCGGCATCCTGGCCAGGGGCGCGTCCTGCAGGGGCCCGTCGGAGCGGGCCAGACATGCGGGGCCGCTCCGTGCGGGGCCGGGCCATGCGGGGCCGGTCCATGCGGAGCCGGCCCGTGCCGTGCCGCTCCGTGCGGGGCCGGGCCATGCGGAGCCGGTCCGGTCCGGGCCATGCGGAGCCGGCCCGTGCCGTGCCGCTCCGTGCGGGGCCGGGCCATGCGGAGCCGGCCCGTGCCGTGCCGCTCCGTGCGGGGCCGGTCCATGCGGGGCCGGCCCGTGCCGTGCCGCTCCGTGCGGGGCCGCCGCGGCCCCGGCGCGTGGCGGCGCCGCCCCCGGTGGCGGCGGGCGCGGGGCGGGCCGGGAGCGCGGAAGTGCGGGGCCGCGGGGCCGGCGGCAGCCGAGTGCGGGCCCCGGCCCGGCGCCGCCGCCCGCAGCCCGCCATGGGCCGCCGCGCCGGCTGAGCGCTCCCTCGTCCGGGCCCGACCCGCCCCAGCGCCGCCGTCCCTCGCCGCAGGTGCCGCCGCCGCCTCCCGGGGACAGGAGCCGCCGCGGGGCCGGCCGGCGGCCGCCCGGGCCGGGGAGGAGCCGCCCGAGAAGCGATGCAGGAAGGTGAGTGGACACGGGGCAGAGTAACCGTGCCAGCCCCCGGGCACTTGCGAGAATATCCACAAGAGGCCCGTGTCATCCATCCACCTACCCATACTTACATCCGTCCTTCCATCCCATCCACCCACCCACCCACACACCCATCTCTCCATTCTCTGGCCACAAGAGCATCCCTGTTCTTCCAACTTCCCTTCTTGCTGGGATGTGTGTCCCTCTTGCAGCCCACCATGCCTGCCCGCTGGGTGAGGGTGTGTCTGCAATGTTCCCACCTCCACCTGCTGTTTCTCCACAGCCATTACCATAACCGAGCAGCCGGTCTCTGTCTCTGTCCCGGTGGGATACTCCTTCACGCTGCGGTGCCGAGCCCAGGGACATACCTCGCTGCAGTACCAGTGGTTTTGTCAGTACCAGGTAAGAACGGGGCGGCCCTGGGTATGGCACCAGTCTGGGTCCCTGCACACAGTGGGGGAGCTGAAGGAGGGGAGGAAACCAGGGGTTTCTGCTTTTGTTGCCCTTACAAGGGGCTTCCTATTGCCTTCTGCTGCCGGCAGTGAGGAGGGGATTGCTGCCCACTGCCTATGTTTTCCCATTAGTCTGACTACTGCCTGGTTCCTGGAGCAACCAACCAAGACTTGCCCATCATTGCAGAGCAGACCCAGCTCTACACCTGCAGAGTCAATGACCTCCACAGGAATGCTGTCTTCTCCGACTGGGTGAAAGTAGAGGTCCATCAGTGTGTTGCCAGAGGTACAAGCTCGTCTTTTACCTTCTTAATGTATTATGGAGTCACAGAATGTTTTGGGTTGGAAGGGACCTTCAAGCTCATCTTGTTTCACTCCTTGCCATGGTCAGAGACACCTTTCACTAAACCATGTTGCTCCAAGCCCCGTCCACACGCACCTGCACCTCATGCTTGCCATGTGTTTCCCAGAGTTATTCTGGGTATTGGAACTGGAAGAACCTATCTGGCTACTTCAAAGTTGACCAAAAATGGGGTGTGGTTTTCCTTAGAATGTTGACTGTACCTTTGTCAGGAAAGGGCGAGGATCAGGTTTGGGAAGCCAGAGGCAGGGTTTGGTGTGGCATTTACCATCATAGGCATTGCTCCCAAGGGTTCCATGCTCCCCAAAGAGAAAGCTGCAGTAGTGAGGGTCGAAGATGGCATTGTTTGCTGTCCCTGTAGAGGGAGGACCAATTCTGTCTTGCTGCCTTGCAGGTCTGCCCCCTCGGCTGTGGCAAGGAGAACCAGTCATTGTCCTGAACCCCAGGGAGCAGCGGGTGGAGGTGGGGCAGCCGCTGCAGCTGCAGTGTGCTGCCATGGGGGTCCCAGCCCCCAGCTACCAGTGGTACCGCAATGGGAACCTGCTGGAGCAGCAGAAGAGAAAAAAGCTCTGGGTAAGGTTTTCTGGGGATAGTACAGGAGCTTTGGGTGCTGAGGTGGGTAATGGGAGAAGCTGATTGCAGAGTTATGAGAAAGCCCTCCACGTATCACCCTGCTGCTTTGCTGGCTGGCTGGATGACTCTGCGTGAAGGGGGAATATGTTTTATGGACTTCTTTCAGAGTTGTGGATATTCCTCTAAGAGGTAACCAATCCGTAGATGCGTCAAGGGCTCTCAGCACATCTCTTGTGCTCTTTTATGCAGAGACATAAGAACAGTTACTGTCTGTGTGTAGAGAGGACTGTGGATTGATGGAGCTGTGGGAATCCTGTCTGCCTGCTGGAGACCTATAAGGAAATGTGGTTGGTCCTGACAGAAGAGAATCAGGGAGGCAGTGGAGGGGCTGGCTTTATTTTGTGTCTCTGGCTGAGTGCAAATCAGTGCTGTATTCTTGAATCAGGAAAGGAGATTTACTTCCAGGGCATCACATGAAAGGCAAAAGACAAGACATCCATCCTCTTCTCAGTAGTGGTTGATGGTATTACAGATGGTCTTAGATGGTTTTACATGGTGGCCTTAGATTGCAATTCTGATGGGAAAGTTCAGTCTGGGCACTAAGGAGAGGTTGTTTTCGGAGGTGGATGGTGCTATGTTGGAGCCAGAAAGGCAGCAATGTACTTGCAGGTGTTCAGGGCTTGAATAGACAGACCTGTGGCCACCCTGACTCAGTGGTGGCTCTAGTCCCTCTCTGAGCAGGATCCTGGAGAACCACAGTCCTTGCCAGCTGGTACTGCTCTGGTTCTTGTCCCTGTTCTGATTCTTCGTGAGGTAAAGTCTCTGCAAACAGCAGGAAAAATACTTTTTATTCCATGAACACAGGTGCCTTTGACAGATCCTGGCATGGGGCTTCAGACTTCGACCATAAATAATGTGATTAAATTTTTGATCTGCCTAGATTGCCCACACCAAGGTCAGTGACTCCGGCACGTACCTCTGCTGTGCCTCCAACAGTCGTGGAGAGCATTGGACCAACGCCGTGGACGTTCACATCGGTGAGCAGACCCACCCCACATCCCTTTGCTGCATACCACTTTGTGTGAGACATAATTAGAGGGGACAGAGGAATTTGGTGCTCTCTAGAGGTGCTGAGCTGGTGAATGAGGACCGTGATAAACAGGATTCCTTGGTGCTGGGGCTCTGAGGGAGCAAAGGGAGCAGTGGCTGGAAAAGCCCCTAAATGCAGTGATGTGCTGTCTGTCAGGGATGCTGCTGGGCCCTGTGGTGGGTCAGACACCTGCTGTGTCAGGGCTCAGTGCTCTCAGCTGCTCTCTGCAGACCTGCCAAGACACCATGCCAAGGTGCTGCTTTCACAGTTCCAGGCCAAATCACAGCAGGTTCCTGTGGCCAAACTCATTTGCAGTCTCGCTGACGTGAAGGGATGTGCTCAGATACAGGGCTGGAGAGGATGGTGTTCATTTGGGAAGATTCAGATCCCATGGGCTGGCAGCTCAGGGCTGATGCTGTGTGAGTGATGGATCCCAGGGAGAGGATGTGTTCCCAGAGCCTCGGGCATGCTCCACTTCTGGCTGCTTTTGCCCTCTGCCTTTATCTTATGTGAGGCAGGAATAGCTCAGGCTGGCTTTGCTGGCTCTTTACTCCACCTAGAGATTTTTCTATGCCATAAGCTTCTTATCCTGCCTTTTATACTGGCTTTAAAATTTCTCCAAAGTGCAAATTGATCTTGTGCAGCCAGAGAGCACTCTGCTTGCCTCCTCACAGCTGGTGAAACAGATCCTGGGGGGAACAGACAGGACACCAGATTGGCTTGGGTTCAATGTATTAGTGCTGGGGAGCTTTTACATGCAACAGGTGCCTCTGTCAGAGGTAGAAAAGGATGTGTGGTTTTGTTCTGCAGCTTTTCAGGCATCTCTCATGCATCAGCAACATTGGTTCAGGGGCCAAATATCTTCAAGACCCATGAGAATTGTGCAATTTATCCCTAATTTCTTCTTTTAGAGCATTTAGGGTTCTAGAATTTTCCGCTGGACTGGATTGTAAAATTTATTTCTGATTGAAATAGGAAAAGCTGGAGCTGTTGGCGTAGTAGTGATTTTAAAAGACTGGAGGTGCTCAGGCAGGAGAGCTTGTGGACCAAAGTGAGTGGCTTTTCTAAGCCAGAACTGCTAAAACAACAGGGAAAGGCAGAGCAGGGAGGTGAAAAACTCAGGGAATATTGTTGCAATCAAAAGCAAACAGGGCAGCTTCCTTTGCACTGAACATTTATGGGGAGAAACTCTTGTTTTGGAGCTTGTATTGACCTTGAGTCATTCTGTTTCCTTTACTTTTGCTGCATTGAGGTAGCAGGTGAGTCACATCAGATATGAGCTTCTTTCTCCATGTGACCCTCCTTCCTTGGTCTGCCACTTCTCCAGGCTTTGCTTCCCAACTGCTCAGGATGTCATGAATCAGTCTGGATTTCATAAATCCTCCTAACATCAGACCAGTGTCTTTAAGGTTAGCAGTCAGGCTATGAAGGAGTTGCCTGAGGAATGTTGCTTGTGCAGATCCTCTGTGTGTTTGTTCCAGCTGTGCATTGTCAGGGCTGTTGGAGCAGAATTCAGACCTGGCACTGGGTGCTAGGCCCAGGCTTACTGAACCCAGGTTTATAACTACCCTCTTTCTTTCTCAGGTACGTGTGGCTCTGGAAAGTTTTTTGGTGAGTACTGTCACCTTTTCTTCCTGAGCAATTACTCCCTTAATTAAAAGCCAGGCTCCAGGGTGGATGGGAGGACAAGGAATGGGAGTGCTTTTTCTGCAAAGACTGCTTCAAGCCTTTATGACCACATTGCTGCAGGTTCTGCACTTTTGGATTACAGCTGTACAGCATAAAATGAGTCCCATCCCCTGCCAAGCCCTGATCTTTTTCAGCAAGTGGAGTAAGATTATTCCTAATGAGTAACTGAGTCTTAAGTTCTATGCATGCCAAATTATTTTAAAAGTGTTCAAATGACAATTTATCCCTACTTGAAATACCTCCTCAGAGCAGAGCAAAGTTCCTCACTCCCACCACCACTGAACAACATAAATCCCATTTTTTTACAGTAGGAGGTGGGATTAAAATCAAAGCAGGAGCCATGGGTTTCTCTCCTTCAACCCCTTGAGGGAAAGGACCCCTCAGCCTGGCTCAGTGAATCCCCCTCCCACACACCACTGACATGCCAGACCCTAGGGCAGGTAGAGCAGAACCTTTGCATTCCTGGGGTTTTGGTTGTCAACTGAAAACTTTTCAAGCTCTTTTGTCAAAATGATAGTGTATTTTGTTGAAGTGTTAAGAAAGATGAGGGTTTTCTGGAGGGTGCTCCAGGCTTGCAGCAGCCTAGGGTCTACCCTTGTTGCCTAACTCTTTCCTCAGACTGCCCATATCCTCACTCCAGCAGCAGGAGGTGAGATCTTGCCTCCTGCTGAGCACTTACAGCTCTTTCACTTGCTGTTTGTTTCAGCTACAGGCAAAATAGCACTTTTGGTGGGCAACAACCGCTACCAGCACCACCCCAACCTGATGGCTCCCATGAGGGACGTGTTCGAGCTGAGGCGTCTTCTGGAGCATCTGGGCTTCCAGGTTGTCTCCCTGCTGGATCTGAACAAGGCTGAGATGGCAGCAGCAGTCAGTCAGTTCCTGCAGCTCCTGGGGAAGGGAGTCTATGGTAAGGCCGAGCCAGCTCAGCCACCTGCCCGTGCCGAGTCGGGATTGGGCAATTTTCTAAGCAGCTGTTGAATTAAAAGAGAAGAAACTGAACATTGCTGTCTCAAAGGAGACCTGCATTAGTACCAGGCTTGGCAGGAGCCCTTGGATAAGTGTAATTTAGTTTTGGCAGGTTATAGTCAGGCAAAGTGGATGTTTCCCCAATGTGTGGCTCACCTCCAGTCCCAGCAGCATGGGCTCACACTGAGTTTTTGGGGAGCCAGTGCTTCCAGTAGTGAATGGGAAAGCTGGTTTTGATTTTTTTCTTGAATAAAAGAATTGAGGAAACTGACTGATTGCCCCCCCCCCCCCCCCCCCCCCCCCGCCGCCATGTGTGAGGAGGGGAGCTCCTTTTGGGTCCTGACTGCTGCATCTGGTCATGATTTCCTTGTTTCTCTTTCCTGAAGGTCTAATTTGGGCCCCTGACAACCCTTTTGCAGAAGAGCATTCCAGCTGCAGGTGGTTTTGAGGTTGGGCTTTGTGCTTAATTGTGCACTGTGCTCAGTAAGGAAGTGTTCCTCAGCCACAAACCCAATCAGCAGATCTTGTGGATCTTAAAGCAGGTGTTCAGATTTGGTGGTGAAAGTAGCATCTTTGAGGTCCCTGAGATTCTCACAGCATGATATCCTGAAAACACCTTGCAGGTGGCTTTGTTTGCTTCCAAGCCTCAGTGTGAGGCTTACATGCCCGCTGAGTGGCACCCAGGCAGTGAAAGTCAGCGTGGGCTGATTCCAGGCTGGCATTCAGCATGAGGTTGGGAGGTTGTGTAATGGATGGGGACCTGGCCACAAGGTAAATGCTGCACAACCACCTTGTTCTGGGAAGCACTGACTCACCTGGGGAGCTGAGCTGGTGAGAAGGGCCATCCATGCACAGTGCTCCATCTGAGCACATCACCTATGGCAGCATATTCCCACGGCTTCACCTGCAGCTTCCTTTTCTTGTTGCTCTCTGAAATCTCCTTGTATCCCAGGCTTTACCTCTGCCAGGCCAGAGTCATCCCAGCTGCCATTCTTACCCTCTATCCATGGCATATGAGGACCAAAAGGCATTTTATCCATGGCCCTTCCTAAGCACTGGAGAGAAAAGAATGGTTGGAAACAGCAAACCTTTCATACTGTCATGCCTTATTTAAACTTTAGAGCTTCTCTGCATTCGTGGCCTCTGATCCTTCCTGGCAAAATTGATTTTGTGTGCTGTCAGGAAAAACATCAACAGCTGAGTTGAGTGTTTGGGAGGCAATGCCTGCTTAGGTTGAGGTTTTCTTAACAGCTCTCCAAGGCTGAGTGGTGTGCTGTTCTTTGAAGACAGTGAGCCCCAGTGTGGGCTGGATCCAGCAGTGATTGAGTTCAGGATTTTTGCCGCATTCACTGGAATCTTAATGGAGTGGTGGGACATTGGTCAGACTGAGTGCTCCAGTTGTGGTGGGACAGCAGCTCCAGGAACAGCTCAGGCAGCCTGTTAGAGCCCCCAGAGGTGCCTGTGACAGCCAGTCCTGTACACCCATGTGTGTGTTGGACATGCTCCTGTGGCATCCCGGCATCTGTGCTTGAGGAACCTGGAGGTGCCACCTCCTGTGTAGCAGCCAGCAGAGCTGAGCTCAGGAGAGCGTTGTGTAGACACACAGGAGGAGGAGAGGACTGACTGGTGAACATGAACCTCCATGGGCTGGTGCTGATTGCCCCTTGTTATATGGTCTATGTTGATGAGGGCAGTTGGGCTTTCTGGTCTCTGTACCTGTCCCTCCAGGAGCTGGAGGCTTTTGTGAGACTCTTCCACATCTCCAGCCCATGCCAGCACAGCTCCCAGGCCTGCATCCTGAAGTGTTCAAAAAACAAGTGGATGTGGCACTGCATGATATGGTTTAGTGGGCATGGGGAGGTTCAGTCCAAGGGTGGACTTGATGATCTCGGAGGTCTTTTCCAGCCCTAATGATTCTATGATCCAAAGGTTTGTCCAATTCACTGCATAGAGGTGGTGGATTATCGGGCTGCTTTTTCTCCAGATCTCATCTTAGAAAAGCTGCATAGAATTTTTGAAGGCCCCTGAAACATCCTCTAAGTGATCTAATTATTCCACCCTCAGGCAAGTGAGGAATCTCCGTGGATGTTATTTTGAGCATCCTAAAAAGTCCCAAATAAAAAAAAATTACACTGGAAATGCAACGCAAACAGAAAATTGTGAGTGGAATACTAAGAATACAGAGTGACGCCTTTATTCAGCCTCACGCTGACATTTCCTGCATTATAAGCAATGCTTGGAGCTTCCCCTTTTTAATTTGGTACTCAGAAATTTTTCTGTCATGAGCAATTCTGACTCATACAACATGGGAAGAACTCAGAATAAAACATCCCTTTCCTTCTCTGGGCAAACTGTTGATTTTCTTGTTCAGGAGAGATTCAGTCCGGGAGAGGTTGGAGAAGGTGCTCAGGTGATGTGAAACTCACCATTTTTCATTTGAACACGAGTCTTTGTGGTTTATATAGCATGGGGAGCACTTGGTGGTACATTCATGTACTCAACAAGACCTCAAAAGTCGGAGGATTTAAGGAGTGAATCATTCATTGTGGGCTTTCCTGTTAAATTTCATCTTTTTCCAAGCCTCAGTGATGCTGCCTCGTAACAGATGTCATCACTTCCCTTGCATGTACAGGCAGAAGGACAAAAGCCACCAGTGCTCAATTGCTCAAGGGGCCCAACCTGCATCTAATTTTTCTAGAAGGCTTCCTGTTTTATACTGTTTTCTAGTCTCAGGGGAGGGTTTTGTGGCTCTGATTCACAAGTTACGAAAGTTTAAAGCTTCTGCAAATCAGAGCCTGCTGTCTCTGGCTGGTGATCCACCAGAAGAGGAACCCAAATCTCATGGGCATCTATGAAAGTGGCCATTTGAGAAACTTTCCACTGTCCCCTGAGAATAGAAACCAGAGGTAACTTGAGGTCTTTTTGACTATGAGATCATGTTTTCCATGCTTTCAGCCCTTCAGCTCCTGCCCCTGTTACTGCGTCCATGCAGAGTCACACCAAAGTGATCATCCTGCCAGGTGCAGGGGCAGGAGCAGTGGAAGAAAAATAGAGGAGAGGTTACTCACTGAAGTGTGGGCTTTGGCAGTGAATCTGAGTGAGGAATTTCCCCTGCTGTTGCCTCTTAGCTACTTTTTCCCATTTCTGACCTCTCACTCTTCACTGTCCCCCAGTTGTAGTAACACAACTCTGTGTCACATCGCAGAGCTATTTTTAACCTATTTCAATTCCCCAAATTTCACCAACCAGCATCCCCAAGCAGTGGTATTGGTCCTGGGGAGGGGTAGCCAGCCACTCTGCAGCTTCCTTTTGAGAAGCTCCAGCCTGCCTGGGGATCCCTGTGCCAGCCCTGCACTGCACACAGGGTTGGAGAGGAGCCCCAGCTTAGGCCATGCCAGGTTCCCCAGTGCTGGCTTCCCACCTGGATGGCCCTGTGGTGCCATCTCTTGGGAATGCAGAAACCATTACTAAGTTTCATGTGCCTAAGAGTAAAACGCAAAATTCATGTAAGGTTTTGGGCTTCCCACGGCATCTTTGTGAATCTGACTCCTCTCCTGCCTACCAGGGCTGGTGCCTGGTTTGAGGTTGTTGAAGCACACGATCCTCATGTTCTGGACATCTGAAGAACTCATCTCTCTCTGTGTCTGATTTTTCATCAGTTTATAGGTGTGCGAATACAGGCAGACTTTTGAAATTGAGAATGTTTCCCATCACCTAATCAGTTGTTAGTCTCTCCAAAACTGGGAAACTGAGGAGCTTCTCATTTTAATGGCTGTTAATGTATTTTCCATCCTCATAAAATCCTTTTCTGTTGCCTTGTTCCTTCAGAGAGCTGAGGACTAACCAAAACATGGTACAATAGTGAAATGCAGCCTGGCAGGTGCTGAGCCTGGACGTTGTAGCACAGAGGGTTTGGAAGTGTGTAAACCCAGGGCTTTCAGGAGACAAATGGTGCAGGAATCCACAAGCACAGGAGAGCCTCTTGGGGCTGCTTCCAGCACTAATGAAGGGAATAAATTGGGAAAAAGTTGAAATTGTGAGGTCAATGTAGCTCCAGTTCCATAGGTGCTACTGGTCTAGGTTTGCCCTGCACCAGTGTCTTTCCAGGACAGGAGGTGGGACATGGCCATGGGGAGCTGGTTACAAACCTGCAGGTTGGTATCATGATTCATCCTCTCCTCTCCCTGTTCCCAGCTATATTCTACTATGCTGGGCATGGTTATGAACATCTGGGGAGGAACTACATGGTCCCTGTTGATGCTCCACAACCCTATGCCCCTGAGAACTGCATCAGCGTGCAGAGGATCCTCCAGAAGATGCAGCAGCAGCAGACAGCCCTGAACATCATCCTGCTGGACACCTGCAGGAAGTGGTAGGGGCCTCTTCTCCCTTCCCCACCTGGGCTGGGCATTTTGAGGGCTGGGGGAAGGGAGCCATCCTCAGCTATGGGTTTGGACAGCCCCCATGGTGCTGCTGAGCCTCTGTCACAGGTTATTGATCTGTGCCATAAAATCAACCACATTGTCAGGTGCTGCAGGGTGTCCTGGGGGATGGGTCAATCATGTATTAGTGCAGAGAGCATCAGCCCTTGTCTGAGATCTGCTGGAGAGAAGGGGCTGGAGACCCTCCCTTGGTTTTTTGAGGTGAAGAAGCCTGGCAAATACAGGCAGGTTGCCTCAAGCCTGTGGATGGGTGGCTTTGCCTGGCATAAATTGTTGTCTTAAACTCAGCACAGGGTTTGTCTTTTGTGTTTCAAGCCTGACCCACCTAACCTGATCTAGCTGATTGTGTGCTCTCCTGGTCCATATTTCCCATGTGCTCAGGCTGGGAGTATTCATTTCACCTCACTTCTCCTGGTTGCGTTCTTGTTAACATCTGTGAGAAGAGTGCAATGTGACAGGGAAAATATTTTAAGCCCTGCTACTTGTTTTTTGTTGGGCTTAAATCCTTCTGAAGTGGTCATGCTGTGAAGCTGCTGCTGCTGAGGTCAGGGATCAGCATTTTCCCACTTTCTGTGGAAAACCCATCATCCTCCCTTGGCCTGCAGACTTCTATCCTGCTGCAGGAAATTACTACCTGTCCAATTTCAGCAGAGGTGGGTGGACTATTGCAGTAGAAGCTGTCATTAGTTCATTTATTTCAGGCTCCTGAGGCAGATTTACAGGTCAGAGAGGACGTGGAGAGCAAATGTAGGAGTATCTCTCTCTTTGTGCTGTGGTTCCTGCACTAAGAATTGGAAAGACAACAGAGCTTTTGGTACCCGGAGAAAGCTGCCAGCCCCTGGAGAGATGATAAATTTTTGATGCCTTTTAGCTGCAGTGATGGGGCTGCTTGCTTTAAATAGCTTAAAGCTGGCTATGCTGGGACTTGTCCCACAGCTCTGGAGCAGGATCTTGATGTCCCTTGATGCTGCCCTGAGCCCCCCAGAGTGGAGCATCCCTTTCTCCCTTCCTGCTGGCTGCTGAGAGCAGAGTGTGTTGCTTCCCTGGCACACGTGGCAGTGCCTGGTTGCCCTCCCCAGTATGATCAGAGGCAGGGGATGGTTTGCAGCAAAGCAGGAGCACCTGGCTCTCATGGATACTCTTCTGGAGCTGGGCTGGAGCAGCTCTGGGCTGCTGCTGTGTTGGGGAGGCACTGTGGGGGCTGCACAGGGACCACCAGTGCAAGTGTTAACAATCTGTAAAACAGCTTTTGAGATGCTGTCTCCTTCCCTGGCATTGCCATTGGTTCCTTTGCTCAATGGAGTCTCCGTGGTGCTCTGGGAAGAGGATGCAGTGTGAGATCTGATGTTATATTTAGGCAAAGTTGTGCAGCTGGTTTTCTCTCTCCTTCCCTGAAGTTCACACCTCCTGTTTTCCACAGCAAGCACAGCACTTCAGGCAGTGGGTGTTATCCCTGATCTTGTGGGGGCAGGAGCTCTCTCCTGAGCTCATTTTTTCTCGAGAAGCCACCATTTCAGCTCAGGAGAGCACCTGGATTTCATAGCTGTGTGTGTTAACCCCACTGTGTAAAGCAAGACTCCAGGGCCTCCTTTCCCAGCTCCCTCCTGGTCAGAGTGATGCTGCAGGTCTGTCAGCAGATCATGCATGAAGCTGTCTGTGCTAAGAGGGCGCTCACCCAGAGTTTCTCCTCACCCCATGTGCTGGCACCAGAAATGCCAGGGTGGTGAGAAACACATCTCCCTTTGCCAAGTGGGAGCAGATGCTCAGCCTTAGCAGGGGAGGAATCAGAGCACAGAGCCTGTGTGTAGCCTCATACATTTATATACTGATTTTGGGCGGATGTGATTGCCTTTTCCAGGAATTCCCTGATTTATCCTAGGATCTGGAACCAAAGATTTCTGCATTAAATTAAGAGCAATTGAAGAGCAGATAAATCTCATTATTCAGACTTAGAAAGATGTTTCCTTTCTCATATTTTCTCTCTGTAGGACAACTTACACAAGCCAGTTGAATTCTGCCATTGAACATCTCCAGACTGTGCCACCAGCAGTAGGTGACATGCTGGCTGCTGGCCTTTCTGCTCTCCTTAGTGTGCCAGCTCCAGCCCCAGGAAACTGTGCTGGAGTTAATGCTGCCTCTGTGCCTGGTTCTTTTCACTGTGTGACTGGGAACAGCTCCAAGTCACTGGTGTGAGCTGGAGGCAGCCTGTCCCCACCCTGTCAGTCTGCCTGCAGTCAGATGGGCAAAGTTTAACTATTCAATGCAACCAAAATATCTTTTTTGTTGGAAATCAGATCCTGTCACCATGGATCTACCTGATTTTGGAAATAATAGGGGCTGTGCCCATTCAGCTGTATCTAGACTGAGGTGCCAGGACCAGTGTTGGGCTTTGAGACTTGTGTGTGTGTCCTGATCCAATCTCTCAGGGAGATCTGGGATGTGTCATCCATAGCCTGCTTTGGTTCCCTGAGGCAAAGGTGTGTGCATGGTCTGGAAGGGCCCCGTGGGGTGTCCCAGACCCCCAGCAAAGACAGCTGAGCCATAACCATGGTGCTGTGCACCTCTGACTTCTTGAGGGACAGTTGTCCATTGTATGTTCTCTGCACTGTGGTGCTGCCTGGAGTTGTTAAAACTCAGCCTCTGTGGGGAGGTGCACCCACAGCTCCAGGTTGTACCACAGCTTCAGGCTCAGGGCAAGGAGAGCTCACCACTGCAGAAAAGTCACAGCTGGACAGACCTACTCCTTTCCCTGTAGTTTGGGTTCTTGGTGGGATTCCCAGCTTTAGTCTCTCTGGTTATGTCTGAGGTGAGAGTTGATCCTACTGCCATCCCTAAGAGATGGACATGAGGAATGTGTGGGATTTGTCCCCTCCAGCTGACAAATGTCCTCAGCTCTGACTTGTGCCTTTGCCTCCTCTGCAGGTACAACCCAGGACGTGCCTTGTCCCAGGTGCAGCCACTGGAGCCCTGGGGAAACACAGTCTATGGCTATTCCACGTAAGTGACCCCACCATTCCCACAGCCCCACACGGGGCCAGGCTGGCACAGCCCGGCTCCTCTCATCCTTTCATGCACGGAGGCTGGAGAGGCTTTCATTTCCCTCTGCCTCTCACCCTGCATCTGCTGGCTGTGCTGTCCAGGCACTTCTGTCCTCTCTGCTGCCATCAGCCTGTGCTTCAGTTGAAAGTTGTGCGTGAAGGTGACATAAGCTCCTGTCACCTGTTCTTCAGTGGATTCCCCAGGTGAATGTCCCATGAGCAGCTCACCTAAAGCTTCCTGAGATGCTGGGTGTTATTTACTGCTCCAGTGCCAGTTCCACTGGCTTTTCACCTTTGTCACCCACCTGGGCTGGCAAAGGAGACTGTGCTGTCCTATCCCATTCCCTTCCACTGCTTTTTCCTATCCTGTGGCCTGCCCATCCTTTCTGGGGCACAACCAAAGCGCTTTGTGTTATTCCTTGAGAAGCTCACTCTGACCCAGCCAATAGAGCCTGGATGGAGTTGGCCACCCCAGACTGACTTGGACTTCATGCCCAATGCAGAACTTCAAGGACTCTGAAGAAATATCCTTACTCTTGCAGGAGTGAAGATGCAGAGGCCTATGAATTGCAGGATGGGGAGTTCAGCTCTGGGATCTTCATGAAATACCTGAAGAAACACATTCTGCAAGAGAAGAAGGTCACACACATGCTGGAGGATGTGTTAGAAGGTAAGAGAAGCTAGAAACCACTCGCTTCAGTGGCAGGGGTGAGAAGAGACACCAGAGACTGTGTGGCTCCACATCACTCCATCCCATCCCAACCCATCCCATATCCCACCCACTGTTCTTCCCTAAACTCTAAATTGCAGACTGTGTGCCGTGGGAGCTTTCAGTAGCCTCTGAGCAGGATGGAGATGAACTCAGGATCCTCATAAAACAGGAAAGCTGGGCAGGACAGAATGCACGTCAAACCAATATGATTAATGCAACATTCTCCCCTTTATTAGTGAGAAGATGGCAATTTTTATACACTTCCACATAGTTTACAGTTTACAAAGGCACTCTGATTGGCAAGCTAACATTGTTTACCTTTGCCTTAAGGTGGTCAGGCTTTTCACACTGCAGCTCTATTCTAATTCACACTCAGATAGCTCATTACTTTGTAGTTACCTTAATATAATTTCTAACTGCACCACAACTAATTTCTTGCTGCATCAAAGGCTCCTAGGCCCCACCATGGCCGCTTATCAGGAGCCTAGTCTGAGGGGTAGCTCAGTTCTCACTCCAGACATAAATCATGCCCTCTCTCTCTCAGAAATTCTGTAACATGGAGACATTCCTGTAGGGCCTGAAAGGCAGGGAGATCAATAAGGAGCCTGGAGTGATCCTTGTGCTTCCCACTCTTTCCCACAGACATTGGCCGTGATCCCCTGGTCACTGGGAAGCAGGTGATGGAGATCAGGCACACTCTGAAGGAAGCCCGGGCTCTGACGGACCCCGTCTGTCCCTCAGGAGCGGCCGCTGAGCTCTGGGGACACGGCCAAGGTGAGCCATGCTGGGGGTGCCTGTGGCCCTCAGGGACTCCGCTGTGCAGGGAGGTGTTGACAGGAGCCTCGGAGGAGCTGATGGTGCTGGAATTTCCCTTGCAGAGCTGCCGAGCAGAGCGGTGACCTTCCCGTGTGGGGCGCGGGTGAAGCTCCGCTTCCTCCGGCTCTTCTCCAACCTGATGTTCGTGTGTGCCCAGCCGCAGCCCCCCCTGGCCCACGTCACCGACCCCCAGCTCCTGCTCCGCCAGCTCGCCGTGAGTGCTCTGCCCGGCCCTCCCTGGGCTGCTTTCCCCGGGTCACAGCTGGGGAGGGTGGTTGGGCTGAGTCCTGAAGGCTGGGAACTGCCTGTCCCAGGTGGAAAAGGATCCCCTCCTCTGCATACACCTCTTTGAGGCTCCTTCCACATCTCGGTGGATTCCCTGCCTTGCTTCTTGAGCATCACAAATAAAAATTGTCAGCAGTGTGATGCCTTTAACCAGTTATCTCTCAGATTGATTTCTGGCCTGCCTGATTAAATTATTGCATTTAATCTGATTGAGGCCAAAGCTATTCTGTTTTCAGTGTTAGCAAGTAGGTCTGGCTTTTTGACTTCTTTAGCCTGCTTTGCTAATATATCTTAATGCAACAATATATTCCTTCCCAGTTGAGCTTCCTTGAACACTTTCTCAAACCTTTCTCCCAGACCATGTGCCCAATGTGGGCTTTACTGATGGTCTCCATGCCACTTGTACAGATTTAATTTGCTGCTCCTTTCTGTAACTATCATCTCCCTTGTTTTCTGTAGTCCTCCTCCCGAAGCGTAGCTCATTTCTGGTGGATTTTTTGGCTCTTGTTTCTCGTGGAGGGACACTGCTCCTCAGCACATTGGGGTCACTGATGCAGCGTGGTGTATCCAGGAGGTTTGGAGCCTGATCCTGCCCATTCCTAAGCTCCAGCATAATTTCCCCTTGTGAGCATCATGCATGTGAATTGTGTCTGTGTGTGTGAGCATATATTTGTGTGCTTTGCCCCACATCAGTTACTGGGGGGAAGGGAGACCCAGCTGCCTGCTCCTGCCTCTGGAGCTGTCTCAAGAGGGATCAGGGGGACAAAAGGGGGCACCAGTACAGCCAGATCCCTCTCGTTGTCCTTGTCCATGGTGGAGCTGGCTCCAGTGAGCTCCAGTGCTGTCTGCAGAGGCAGCAGCATGTCCTTCCATGACTGTCACCTGCCCCACCTCAGACATGACAGCAGCCACCACACCCCTATGGGATCCCTGAGATGCCCATGGGGGGCACTGGGCTCCCTCTAGGATCCTGCCAGCACTTTTGGGGGATGCTGAGGGCTGCTGGGGGCTCCCCTAAACCCCACGTGCGAGGCTGAGCTGCAGGAGCTGGAGGCTGAAGGCCAACAACACCAAGCTGAATGTGAGGTTGTAAGCCCTGGGGAATGATCCCAGAGAGCTGTTTCATTGAGGAAGTGGAGAGTGTAGGAAATGGGAGTTTTTCTACCATTTGCCATGTTCTGGTTATCAAAGGGACTTAATTGGGCTTGATGTGGGCTTGCCAGGAATAATTACAATGGAATTTTCTAGCATTGATCCATTTTCTCTAGTTGTCCCATATTCCCTCCCATCCTGTGTCTTGCCTGACTTCTATTTTTACCTGACAAGCACTGTCTTTAGAGGGAGTGGCTGCTCTAGCATATGATCCAAGACATTCTCATTTTTTTTTCCTCTGTACTGTTTAAATCCTTACTTTTTAAAAACCCTTATGTTGGATCTCCTTGTTTTCCAGACACTTGATCTGGAGATGTTTGACATAATGGGCTTGCCAGTCAACCTTCCCCCAATTTATTTAGAATATCCCTGGTTTTGGGCCAGCTAAAACATGGTCTTTCTGAGTTCTGGAAAAAAGCCAGTGTCACTCCTGCCTTCCAGGAGGACAAGAATGAAGATTTTGGGAGCTACAGGAGGGTCAGCCACACTGTGATCTCTGAGAAGGTGACAGAGCCAATAATCCCCAAACACAAAAAGGACAAGGACGTGACTGGGACAGTTAAAATAGATTGCAAAGGGCCTCCATGCCTGATAACCTGATGCTTTCTGCATCAAAGTGACGAGCTCAGGGGACAAAGTGAGGGCAGTGGGTATTGTTTATCCTCCATCTATGTCCAATTATGACTCCTCAACGTAAGAGAGACATGGACATACTGGAGAGACCCTGGCAAAGGATCATGGAGATGATGAAGTGGTTGCAGCACATGTCCTGTAAGGAACAGCTGAGAGAGCCAGGGCTCTTCATCCTGTGGAAGAACAGACTCAGGAAGAACTCATCCAGGTCTGCAAATACCTGCAGGGAGGGTGCAAAGAGGAAGGAGCCAGGTTCTTCCCAGTGGTGCCCAGTGCCAGGACTGGAGGCCATGGGCACACACTGATGGACAGGAATTTCCACTTAAAACTAAGAGAAAACTCTCCTTGGAGGGTGATTGAGTATGTTTGGGCTTTTTGGAAAATCAGGGCTGTGGGATTAGGTATTATTTTCACTGATGTGCTTATTAAATACACAGATCCCATAACACCAAGTGTCTCTGCAATGTGCTACAAAGCAGATTTTTGAAGGATTTGGATAACTGAAGGTACAATTTGAGGCCAAGGCTGTTATTCAGCAGATGCAAGTTCCTGCCCGTGAGCAAGAATAAAAGGTAGCGTCAGCATGGGATGGGCAGTGAGTGGAGAACTAGTTCTGGTCAGAGCCCAAATCAGATGAGGCAACAAAATTGGGGCACAAACCCATGGCAAGGTTGCAAAGTAGGGCTCTGTGAGATCCTGCCTGGCTCTCCTGGCTGTTGCTGGAACAGTGGGTCCAGTTTCAGGTCCATGCTTCATGGAAAAAAAGTGTGCCAACTAAAACACAGACAAAGTAATGAAATGAAGGAGCAAGGCAATTGTAGTTTAGGCAAGAAAGAAAAGCAAAAATGTTAATTTTATGGGGCCTTGAAATCTACAAAAAGTTGTTTCCAACGTGGAAGTAAGTCATGGTTTGTATAGCAGAGAGGAAGTTCCAAAGTGGAGATGACATTCTCCCTAATCCCTGATCTAACCCTACCCCTGCAGTGGGAAGCCATTCCCCTCTTGTCCTGTCACTCCAGGCTCTTCTCCAAAGTTCTTCTCCAGCTCCTGGAGCCCCTTTATTCTCTGGCAGGGGCTCTGAGGTCTTCTGGAACCTTCTCTTCTTCAGGTGAGCACCCCCAGCTCTCCCAGCCTGGCTCCAGAGCAGAGGGGCTCCACCCTCAGAGCATCTCCCTGGCCTCCTCTGGGCTCTCTCCAGCAGCTCCACGTCCTTCTGCTGCTGGACCCCAGGGCTGAGGCAGCTCTGCAGGTCAGAGCATGTGCTGGAGGATGGAGCTGGCTGGACACAGCAGGGCTACACCCTCCTTTGTGCAGCCATGCTGCCAAAGCCCTGGCAGCAGCATCTGGCTGATCTGCTTCCTGCCTCTTTGCTCTCCATTCTCGGGCCTGATCTTCCCCAAGCTCCCTCCAGTTTATCTTTCCTGTAATGAGCTGCCAAGTGCGGAGATGGATTTGGCTTTCTCTTGCACTGAGATAAATGGTGTTTCCTCAGCCTTCAGTGACCTCCAGTGACCTCCTGTTCCACCAGCCTTGCATACAGGGGTGATCCTGATGCCTGCAGATCCTGGCCAGCATTTGGAATCCAATGCTTTTCCTTATACTCTCCTGGCCAGAACCAAACCCAAGCTTTGGCTGCTTCCAGGCAGCAGTTCAGGGAAGGCCAGGAGGATTTCCTAGAGCTTCTCCAACTTCTACCTCCCCAAATATCCTAACAGCCTCCTTCACCAGCATGCCCAGTGCAACTTCTGCTAAGGATCACACTGGGACGGTTGCCAGAACTAGATGACAGAGGGAAGCCTTCTGGAAGGGGCTGTTAGTCTGTGGTCTGACAGACCCATTCTGGAAGGCTCAAATCCAAGGCAAGAAGGACTTGGTCACAGCTCCAAGGCTGCCAGAGCTCCAGGAGCACTTGGACAATGCTCTGAGGCACAGGGTGGGATTGTTGGGGTGTCTGTGCAAGGCCAGGAGTTGTATGCAATGACCCTTGTGGGTTCCTTCCAACTCAGGATATTCCATGATCTATGATTTCATAAGGCCTTTGTTCCCTTGTTTCTTCCTGGGGTGTTAGTGGCTCCACAATTCAATCGGTACTGAAGAGGAACTCATAGATGGTGCTGTTTTGGTTCAATGTGAGTAACTTGGTAAGAATTGGCAGTTCTGTAGATGGTGGGGGCCTAAATCAGCACTCAGAACAACTCAGAACTTCCAGCTGTGCCTTTGGAAAACTTGCTCCCTCCATGACACACTGCTGGCACTACAGTGGTTGTGATACCAGCTGGTGCTACCTCCTGCTCTGCTGCAAATCCCAGTGTACCCCATTTTTCACAGTAAGATGTACTCAGGTGTAAGTGCAGTTTGTGGTGGTTGGGAGTGGGGCTGCAGCTCATCCCCAGTGGGTGCAGCTGTGAGAAGCAGCTGAGCAGCACTGACACCAATGAGCCATGGAGTGCCCAGAGGCACTGCCCAGCCACCAAAGGGAACAGAGGGCACACAGGGGCACTGCATCAACATGAGGGGCATGAAAGGCTGGGCTGAGGAACAAGGAGGGCAGGTGCCTGAAGCCTTCTGAAGTGGTGTTACTGTGCATGGGGTGAAGCTTTCTGGAATTGTATGGTGATGCTCTGTGTATTGTGGCCATCTGGACTGTGACATATGCTGAGTCACTCAGGGTCTTCTCACTGATACGCACAAGGCAAGTGTGTAGAACCTCTGCATTCCTGTTGCTTTCTGTAGTACTTCCATCAGGATACTCAGCATTTCCACCAGACAATATGTTAATCAAAGCCCTGAGCACATGTTTGATGGGCAGTTGTGCCTCAATGCTTCATGCTGATGCTGAAATTTCCTTGCATTTCCCCTTGTTTTCCTGACCCAGGAGACAGATGATGTGGCCATCCAGAGGGAAAGCTGTCTGGACCACGTGGAGACTCTGCTGGCCTCTGTGTACAAGCGGGAGGAGCTGGACTGTGTCTTCCAGCTCTGTGCACTGCAGAAAATTCAGGTAGAGAATAGCCAGGTGCAAATTTCCCCAGCTCTGCACTCTCACAGAACTGGTGTCCCCATGTGCATGGCTGGAGCTGGATGTGCCTCTCTGACCACGTGTCAGTGTCCAAATAGGAGCTTGTTGATCTTCAAGGCACAAAAACCACCCTCTTTTAGAGAATCACAGATTGGTTTGGGTTAGGGGAGACCTTAAAACTCATCTCATTCCACCTCCTGCCGTGGGCAGGGACACCTTCCACTAAACCAGGTTGCTGCAAATTCTGTCCAACCTGGCCTGGGACACTTCCAGGGATGGGGAAACCACAGCTGCTCTGGGCAACTTGTGCCAGGGCCTCACCACCCTCACAGGGAAGAATTGCTTCCCAATATCTGATCTAAATCTGTACTCTGGCAGTGGGAAGCCATTCCCCCTTGTCTTGTCACTCCATGCACTTGACCCAAGTTCCTCTCCAGCTCTCTTGGAGCCCCTTCCAGTGCCTGAAGGCCAAGTCATCTTGGATCCTTCTCTTTTCCAGGCTGGATGCACCCAGCTCTCCCAGCATGTTTCCATAGGAGAGCACTGTCCTTTCACCTCAACTTTTTCACCTGAGCAAAATCTTTCTGATTTACAATCAGGCTGCAGAACCCAACTGTGGATAATCTTTGCTTTTATGTTATCTGTTCTGCCTGACTTTCCTATCAAAGTTGACCCACAGCAGCCTCTGCTGAGAGCAGAGAGGCATGACCAGTCATGGATTGTTCTATTTTTCTCTGCTGCCTGGCCAGGAGGCTGCTCTTTGCCCCATTAATCATGGGGAGGTCAGACCTGCCCAATTATTTCAGGTGGAGGAATGTCTCACTAGGCTGTGTGCTTGCCTGAGAGATGAGTTCATGGGCTGGCCAGGATCTCCAGTCATCAGAATAACACTGCCAAGCCTGATCCAAGCTGTGCCTCTTTGGCAGACTTCAAAACACCCTCAAACTATTTAAAGACCATGAGAGAAGCAGAAGTGCTTGTCTCCTGGCTTGTTTATCCTCAAACAGCAGTATGCACCTTGTTCATTCTTGGATTTTTATTCCTCCCCTAGCACACAGCCAGTGGATCTTACACCAAGTGCTGCTCTGAAGCTGCTGCCTGGATCTGCCCACAGCAAGTTCTGCTTGCTCTGTACGTGATGTGCTTCAGCATATGGCAGTGCTTTCAGTTCTTGATTGTTCCTGGAGCTCTTTTCTGAACCTTTCCCTGTTGTTCTGCATTGCTTTTAAGTGCAGACAGGAGACCTGGACCAGGCATTGCCTGCCAGAATTTTCTTGTTCCTTTATATATCTCTCTGCTCTTTACAGGTGTTTCAGGCACAGTGCCGTGCTGGGGGTCTGTTTTCTGGGGTTTGACTGCCATGAATGTGGTTATTCTCTTATTTCTTAATCTTTTATAAAACTCTAAAATAGTCTAGGGTGTGAGTAGATCCCTATGGAGCACTGCTGGTTAAAGCTGTTGGCTTTTACAGTGTGAGGTGTGTTTTAGTTCATAGAATCCCAGAATGGTTTGGGCTGGAAGGGACCTTAAAGCTCATCTCCTTCCACCCCCTGCCATGGGCAGGGACACCTTCCACTAGATCAGGGTGCTCCAAGCCCCATCCAAGCTGGCCTTGCACACTGTAAGTGGTTCATGCTTTCCTGTCCCACGTGCATTGGTCTTGGCCGTGGTGCAGCTCCTGTGCCCACATCCCTGGGGTGATGCTCGCAGTGGCAATTCCCTGATGGAGCTGATGAGATTCCCACATAGCCTGATTTCAGCAGAGGTCCTGAAATCCAAAATCCACGGGTGAAGCCTGCAGGTGTAGTGAGCTCTATGAGTATGTACAGCCCATTTTCTCTGGCAGTAGTGTTGCTCCATCATGCCACAGCATGGGGCTGTGAGCCTGCACAGCAGCCAGCCGAGGCTCCTTCCTGGCGGCAGCAGAGCAAAGCTCTGCTTCTCCAATTCTCCCATTCACTTTGTGTTCTTTGTTCTCCCCTTCCAGACAGATGTGGTCCTGCAGTTGGATTTGCATTACACCCAGCCCGGCACAAAACAGAGGACTTGTGAAAGCCTGCAAACGACTCTGCAGAAATCCCTGCTGAGGCAGTTTTTCAGCCAGAGGGACAACTGGCAGCGAGCTCCTGCCCACACAGGCAGCGTGTGCCCGCAGGACGTGCTGGGGCTGGGCACTGACCCAAAGGGCTCCCCGGGCACTGACCCCAAGGGCTCCCCGGGCACCGACCCCAAGGGCTCCCCGGGCACCGACCCCAAGGCCTCCCTGGGCACGGGCTCTGGCCGCAGCTTGCCCAGCAGCAGCCCCTCCAACTTCAGCAGCGAGCCCGAGGAGAACGACGAGAGCGACCTGGGCGAGCTCTGCTTGGCACTGAATCAGACTGGCCTGGGGCAGGACAGGCCCTGAGCCTCAGCCTGGGGAGCTGCTCTTTTCACTGAGGCCTTGATTTGAGTGCTAAATCTGGCAGAATCCATCAGCTGCTTCCCAGCCTTGGCATCGCCCTGTCTGAATGAGGCCAAGGCTGCTTTTTTGGAAAGGTTTCTCCTATCTGCGCTCTGTGGTGTGCAGGGCCTCAGTTCCCACTGGGAATATTCCCAGTCCCATGGGAGCGTTGGGATCAGTGGGGAGTCATTGTGGTGTCTGGCAGGGGACACAGCCACCCACCAGTCATAACACTGCCAGGCAGAAGTGGTGTTGCTGCCAGGCAAGGGCACAGGCTGGCGTTTTTTGCCTGAAAACAAATGTTGCTGCATTGAGTGTGATGAGAAGCCACAAACACTACAGACCCCTCTGGCTCAAATCCCAGCTATGACTTGCTGGATCTCCCCAACCTGTGCAAGGGACACAGGGCTGCCCCAAGGGAACCATGTGAAACAGTCTGGGGTCCCAGTGTGGTTTCCTTGCCATGCCTGTGTCAAGGCAGGTGTTAAGTTATGCATTTATGTAATTCTGAAGCATGTATTTATAATGGAGGGTGGGGGGGGGGGGCAGTAGCTGGCCACGAAAAGGAAGGTCAGATGTTGCATCCAGTGTTTGTTTACATTGGAGGCTGGTGTTGCACTGGACCAGGAATAGTGTCCAGGCAGGTGCAGACACCTGCCCCTTCCAGCATGGTACAGAGGCATTAGAGGGTGTTCAGCCCTCTGCAGTTCTGAGTTCTTCTCAGGTGCAGAATATCCTATGGGAGAGATGGAATGTACCAGGATTGAGAAAGGATAACCTCAGGAAAGGTTTTATTAGTGTAAATTGTTTTGTCTGTGTGCTGTGGGTGACCCCAGGCACTCTGTGGAGAGGCACAGGTGGGCAGGGCCCAAAGGACAGCCTGGGTGGGCACAGGCCCCTCCCTGACTGTTTCCCTAATAAATGTTTGATAAAGATTGTTCAGTAAGGGCCAGTGACCCTGGGGAAGTGTGGGGTCTCATCTTTGGTGGAAGGTTCACTTTGGAGTTCAGAAGCTGCCAATGACCTGATCCAGCTGGCTGAGGGCTGGACCAGAGACCACTGGAGATCCCTGCTGGCTGCTGTGGCTCTGTGCAAGAAAGAGGTTGGAGGGCAGAACTTCTTGAGAGGTCAAGGGCAGCAGGGTGGGAAGAATGCCTGTGCTCTGTCTTGCTTTAAAAGAGGGTTGGAGGCAGAACTTTCTCAGTTTGGCTCTCCTTCAGTGATGATACATCCCTGTCTGTGCTGTCAGTTGCAGCATAGAAAAATCTGAAATGTTGCTTCCAGATAAACCATTCTACAAGTACTGGAAACCTGTCCAAAGAGAACAGAGGAGGCTTTTATTCTTCTCACAGTGAGTAGAGCCAAGGGAAAGAAGAGGGGCCCCAGCTGGCTGCAGACTAGAAAGTCTCCTAGGAAAAAAAAAAATCTAAAGCTCAAAAAAAAAAATAATAGATTCAGGGGATGTATTTTAAATAAGATGGCCTGATAGAGAAGCTAAATGAGAAAATAATAAACTTATTTCAGAATGAACCAAAGATCAACTCAACACCAGCAGGCACTGGGGACAGGTCAGTGGGAATGGCTCAGCAGGCATTTGGGAGAAGCTGGGGCTCTTGTTGCCTCTGAGGATTAATCACACCCTCCTGTGCTGTTGAGGCACTGAGGCATGGCTTGTTCCTGGCTCACATTATCATACCAAGTGTCATCTAATGTGAATGTTTATCTCATTCAAAGCAAGGCTGTTTATTTTTTCTGAATAAAACACTATTGGGTGTTTTTAATGCACGATGCTTCACGTGGCTCTGAGTTAACTGTGTTTATTTTCCCTCTAATTGCCAGGGTGTAACTTAATATTGATCTGCTGGGGTTTCATGCTTCCAGCCTGAGCTTCTAGGCTCTTCTGGGTGAGCATTCTTTTTTTAGGCAACTAAAAATACTGAAGTTTGGATTTAGAAGGTGGATCAAGTGACTAACTAGGATGAAATTATGTCAGGTGAAATGTGTAGATTAAAAAAAAGTCTTAATTTGCTGTGATTTGTTCCATCTGCTTTGTAAGTGTGGCTCTTGGGTGCCTTAGGTGGTCTCCTGTGTTGGTGCCAAGCACAGTGCTTGTCCCTGTCATCAGTTCTGCTCTTCCAAGGAGACCCTGGAGCCAAGCCCGGGGGAACCACCACATTCCCATGGTGGTTCATTCCCTGAGATGATGGTTTGTCACGTCTGGGAGCTTGCTGAATTGCAAAGGTGGACTTTGTGTCCTGGACCTCAGCTGGAGTCATTGTAGGAGGGGATGGAACTATGGATCCTTCATCTCCATCTTAACATGTGAAATCCAAACTCCCTCATGGTGGTTAAACTGTTTAGTGCCAGTACATTTTCCTGAGAATCTGTGTTTCCATCTCCCAGCATCCAGGACACACAAGGCATCCCAAGATTCCCACGTGTCCCTTAGTCACATCCTTTCTGATCTGCCCCTTGGGCTCCACAGCCCCTGGGGCCAGCTGGGAGGCTGGGAAGGGAGGAGGGCTCAGGCAGCAGCACACAAAGCAGGATCAAGACATCAGCTCCCGTTTACATTCCCTTTCTGCCTCCTTTCCTTCCACAGCCTTTGCCCTCCACTTCCTGTTTCTGGGCCAGTCTGTGCCCAGAGGCTACAAACAGCACTTTTGTATTTTTGTAGATAATACAGGTGCTTTCATTCACCCGAGTCTTTAAAAAGCACCAAGTAAACTGAAGCTTTAAAACAATATATGATGAAAATAGCAGCCCCTAAATATTCAATAGTTTTATTTTTAGATAGATGCCCTTCTTTTACTCTCTGCTAGGGCAGATGTGTCGAAGGGAAGGACTTTGGACAACAGTCTGATGTGTTTTTCTGCTACAGAATTAATTTGGGATGCAGTTCTCCACTCATTTGCTGAGGTTTGGCAGTTCCTGACAAAACAAGGCAAGTGTACCCGAGAAGCAGTGAAAATCAGGGAAATCAGGGAATCTTGGAAATACCATTTCAGTCTGTTACTGGAAAGTCCTGGGGCCAAGTGCAGTCAAGAGGGGAGTCACACGTGCACTGGCAGATCCACTCCAGCCTGACACCCTTCTGTTGGCAGCAGATTCCTGAAGTTTGTTTTCAATTGGCATTTTTGTGATCAAATGAAAGAAAAGGTGGATTTGTGTTGTATCAACCACATTCCAGCCTCAACCAAAGAGAGAAAGAAACACAAGACAGGCCCTTCATTTCAGGAGGTGTTTCTAGGGGAAAAAATTCAGTATGGGGCAATATTGAGTAATTTCATTTACCAGCTTACTTAACACTTTCCATCTTTTTGGAACAAATCCATCTCCCTCACAGAAGTAAATCTGAATTTACTCTTCAAAAACTGGTAGGTTCTCCTTATTTTCTGCAATAAGAGGTTTTCCATGATGTACAGAACCTGCCAGATCATTTCCTACTCCTGATAAGGGCAGAGTGCATGGTGCTGTTGATGGAATGTGCTCCCAGTGTAATAAAACATGTAGAGGGACACGTAGGGAAATTCCAAGATTCAATAACATGGTTTTGGTCTTCTTTACATAGTTTATGGCAGTAGCTTCTCATACAGGCAGGAAAGATCCTGAGGGCATTCAGGAGCCCTTCACTCCCAGGGAAGGCTGGAGCTTCCCAAAGGACAGGTTATCCTGTTCTCTAGAAGGTGATGCTGCCTTTCATGTGGACAAGGAGTGAAGAGGATGATCTTGTGAACTGATAGGAAATGGGAATCCCCTGTTTTGTGAAATGCTGGGGTTTGCTTTCATTAGCTGAGGATCACTTCTGGAACACCAGGTACTGGAAGTCAAGCTCCTCTGAGCACAGCAGGACCACGCCCAAGGCAGAAATGGGAGAGCCAGGCTCAGTTCTAGTGAGGAGGGAATCACTAAACCCAGGTGCTGCTCTCACAGCCAGTGTGTCACAGCCTTTATCCATCGTGTTTTGCACATGGAGACATCCACAGCTCTGCTCTCCTCTCCCAACGCTGGCAGCTGTCCTGCTTCCAACAGAATGTTGGATTATGTCCCTCCCAACTAACAGTGTGGTTGTGCTACCAGAATATGCCCAGAAGAATCCATGTGTTCTGAGTGATTCTGAACACTAAACTGGGAGTTTCAACACTGTTTCAGTGAAATATCCCTGCTCCCTGTCCAAGATGCAAACAAGGATATTGGTTCAGCTTAGCTGGATTCAAAGCTTAAAAAACAAAACTCATGGCAGGGCAAGAAAATAAGAAAAAAGTGGTAAAACGGTTTATTTGAAATGTCATATCATTCAGATTCGGTTCTTCCAGGCCTCCTCATCAGGTGGATGGTTCAGGAAAGAAACCAGGAGCACAGTTTGAAACAAAAGGGGTGAGTGAAGCCATCCACTGTCAAGCTAATAAACCCAAGATGACTCAAGGAAATTCACACTGCTGACCTTCCTTCTCCTCTGCAGAGACCTGGGGCACCTCTTGGGAAAGTAGGAGCAGGTTTGGTGTCACAGTGAGCTTGCAGACCACGATTTTCTTATTAATGGTGAGAAATTACTGATAGCACAGACTTTTCATATTGTCCCAGAGTTGTGTTCTCTATCACAGATTATTTCAATGACTGTTTTGCCATTGTTACTAATCTCTTGAAATTAGGTCTGTAACATCATATGGCAGCAAAGAGAAAAACACATCAAAAAAAGGAGGCTCCTTGAAGCACTTGAAACTGCTTCTTATCTTCACAGTTTGGATAACCTTTCACATAACAAGCAACAATTTCAAATATATTGGTCATATCACCCCCTCAAAGAGATAGAAGACACACTTTGAAATTACAGACCAGACCTCATGTGCAGGAGGAGAACTGACGTGGTGTCACACAGTGAGGAAGAGCTAATGTCTCTTTGATAAATCTGTCTTCCCTGTGTTGGATTTTCTTGCCACAGTGTCAGGAATAGTTGACGAGACAGACGTGTTATTAAGTGGTAAAAATAAACAGATGGAAGAGAAAAGTGAGAGATTTCAGCTCTGACTTTCCAGAGTGTTTCAGCAAAGAATAACCTCCTCATTTCCATTCCCTACCAGAGATGAAAAATAGGCAATGCTTACTCAAGGACTGCATGGCTGGAGAAATGGGGTGCCTGGTCCCCACCTACCCCCAGGGCATGTGAGATGGGACAATGTGGGGTCCAGAGATGGATGCTGCTCCTGACCTGCTGCTCCTCCAGAGTCAAAGTCACCCTTGTGGAGAACATTGGTGCCTGACAACATCAGCACTGCCTGCCTTGGGTCCTCCTGGGAACTGGAGCCTATTTTTGAGACCAAACCCCTGTATGTTCCCTCTTCCACAGAAGGGGCATTTCGCTCCTTCCCTCTGTGGAGGATGCAGCAGTTTGGCCAAGGCTGTGTTCCCCACAAGGGACAGGACAGAGCACAGGCAGGCTGAAGATGCAGTCACTGCAGGAGACCCTCACTCCAAGACAGACATTGATGGGCTGGAGTGTGTCCAGAGCTGGGAGCAGAGCTGGGAAAGGGTCTGGAGCAGCTGGGGGGGCTCTGCCCAGAGGAAAGGAGGCTCAGAGAGGACCTTCTCGGGCTCCATAAATCCGGGACACGAGGGTGCAGCCAGGTGGGGGTTGACATTGCTCTCATGGAACAGGATAGGATGAGAGGGAACGGACTCAAACTGTACCAGGGGAAGTTTAGATTGGATTTTAGGGAAAAGTTCTTCACAGAAAAAGTGGTCAGTCATTAGCATGGGTTGTCCAGTGCAGTGGTGGGGTTGCCATCCCTGGAAGTATTCAGAAAACATGCAAATGTGGCACTTGGGGACATGCTTTAGTGGTGAACCTGGCAGCTGAATTCAATGATTTTGGAGGGCTTCTCCAATCTTAATAATTCCATGATCCTATGATTCCATAAGATCTTTTATCCCCTGGGAATATGATGGTAGAGCGCCAGCTCCTGCAAATGTGACACTAAAATAGGGTCAAGTGGCAGCATTGTAAGTGTGGGGGAACTGACCTTGGCATCTGGGGTCCTCACCACAGCAGGGCACAACACAAAATCCACTTTTCTGAAGAATTGGTGGTCAAGGGATGTTGTTGCCAGACCTGCCTCATGCCCAGGCCATTGGGCACTGCTGGAAGAGCAGAGGGTGGCTTCTGCTGTGTCACTGCAGCCATCTCTTGGCCTGCCTGCTTTATTCTTCTGTGTCACTTAATATAAATTATAAAATATTAAATCAGATAAATACCTGTAACCTTTCTGGATGATAAGAAAAGATATTGTTCAGCCTCCTAAAATGCCTTGTGTTTGCTGGAAAATGCTAATGGGATTATATAAAGGTTATTTCAGCCTCCTTTCAAGTCTGGAGACGTGGCAAAACAATCATGATGCCCTTTGTTTATGCCTTTTTAATGACTGCTTTTACCTTCAGATATTTGAGGCTTCTGCATCTTTTCAGGTGATCCTCTGGGAAGTCCTTGGACTGCTTTTTTGTGGAAACTTCCCAAGGAATGTAAATGTGCCTGTGATTTTAGAGGTCTGGAGGAGAGCTGGGGGGTTGGAGCACTCTGGGAGTCTGGCAAGGGTTTCATGTGCATCTTTTGATGCCCTTGTGTATTTTGATGTGCATGTTTCCATGACCCTTGTGTGAGGGTCAAGAGCTGCATCCACAGGTCCACAGCTCCTGTGCTTGCAGCAGTGAGCATCGGTGCACGCCTGGCACTGCCCATGTCCATCCCTCCAGGGCGCTGCCCTGAGCCTGTGCCAGGCTGCACAGGGAGGAGCTCAGCTGTGGCACAGCCCATTTGCAGCCTCCAGTCCAGAGGGACCTTTGCTACACCCTGCAGGAGTGAATTTCTTTCTGGGTAAGAAAGCTACAGAAATAATGCTCTGCTCACTCTGTCCTCTGGGAAGGAACTCCCAAGCCCATGATTTCCTCTACTTTTTTTGTTGCTACTGGTCTTTTCCCCAGGTTTTGATTTTTGTTAGACCTTGTGTCCCAAACAGATCCAATGTTGTGCAGGGAGCTTG